TACAACCGAACAGTCAGCAAGTCAAATGCACAATTTTATTGAATTGTCACTTCTTCGACAATAACCGATTTTGACATCGTGGTTGAGTTCTGCTCCCCATCCACCTCTTCTTCCCACTCGTTGTAGGTAAAGATAAGGCGTTCAATAAATGGAAGGGGTACGCATAGCCCAAGCAAACAAAACATGGAATGGATTACTTACCGTTTCACGTCGCAGTTTCTCTTCCCGCGAAACATTACAATGCGGCGTTATGTCGCCCACAATGCACTCCGCCAAATCGTGCACAATTGTCATTTTTATCAACCTACAAAAAAGGACAGGATGAACGGGAATGTACACTGAGATCTGCACTGTATTTGTGTTACGAGGTGATCACTTGTGAGATACAACTGCTATGGTGGTCAATGTGAGTACGAACACCAAAATATGTGATTGAGAAGGAATGTTAGANGAGACCAAGAAAGTTTTGCTTTGGACGCCGAACAAACCAACAGTTGACATTGACAATCTGTACGCATTTCGATGTGCGGCACGTACCGAAAGCACTTATCCGCGAAGACCACATGCCATCCACTCGGTTTTCAAACGTTTACCCATGGTTTGTCCAGCTTCATTGTGTGGTAACGAGAGCTAACCATTGCATGCAGAAGCGGTGGTTCGATCTGTAATGTTTTGGGATGATACTGTGCGGAGTGGATCAGTCGAACAGAGATAATAAAACCGGATATTCTGTCTAGGTGTGAGCCGACTTCTAGCACATAAACTTTTCATGCGAGAGTTCAATCCAAGAGTATGGCTAACTGTATGAAGTAAGGAATATATGCGTGAGAATGAAGCCTGGAAGGCGATTCGTGGAAGACATAAAAAATCTAAGCAGGGTACGCGATCCATAATATGCGCTGAATTCATTTATCTTCTCGAATAGACTTTCTTAGTCCACAGTGCAGCCTGAGACAGGGACCAGTTGGGATGAACATTGAAGGTAGCCGGTCTGTGATATGGTAGAGTTATTTAAAATAACCTTAACCAAGAAACTCAATCGTCTACAAAGAGGACCATTGAGTGTGAGATTAAAATGTTAAAGCAATACGATCAATCGTGCATACATTCAGCGTTCTATTAAACGCGTAGAACCCTTTTCAGTTTCCCATCCAATCTGTTTTCTTTCTAGACAATACTCAATAACCGCGAGCAGTCACACATTACTTGCAGTACCAACAAGTGTCTGTGTGTCCCCAGTATCGACCTGTGCGAGACGATGGGGAACCTTTCAGTCTGAAGATCAATTACGGAATGAACCAAATCAGTGAACTAATTCAGAGTGGAAAAGCCCCCTCTAATCATTCGGAAAAGCGAGGAGTGAATAATCTATTTCCGCAACAAATTCGATTGTTTCGATTCGATTTGTTTTCTCTGGACACCACCAAGGGCTCGATCATGGTAAGTGTGAATAGTGTCGATAAGTTTGCATGATTAATGCAATCAATGGGATCATCCGATCCAAAGTTGGGCCGTTTATAAATATGACCAGCTAGATACGATGTTGAGGCATTTTAATGAGACTGCTTGAAACGGGCATCAGGCAGATGATTGGTTGGTGAGCTGGGGGACAAGAAAATGAATTAGAATTCACGTGATCCACCTTGGTGCAACGGTACCGCTGGGATATGATAAATGTAGTAATGAGGAAATTATTTTATCTAGTTCTTAAAGTAACCTAATCCAGTGTTTATACGTTCATTCATTCATCATTGTCATCATCATCATCATCATCATCAT